ATCTCGTACACCAGATTCATTTCGGGATTGACGATTACCATGCGCCGCTCTTCCGTTGAAGAAGGCGGAAATATAATGGTTTCCGAGAAGACGAACATCAGGTCCGTAACTGGCGGAATCGCGATAGAGGCGTTCTCGGGAATCATTTGCACGAGTGTCGGCGGCATCATGTCCTCGAGACACGTGTTGTTCACGCAGAAACCAGAGGCACAGTCGCTGTCGATGTTGCACTCAACCGTTGAGATTACGCCGTAGTCGACGTCGAAGTCTGCCGGTTCGTCGCACGGTCGTCCGTTGCCGCCGCGGTCGACGCCCGAACACCCGCAGAGGCGGTTGGTGCCTACGCGCTTGCTAATGCCCAAACTGACGTCGCAGCTGCCGTCGTCGTTCACGTCGATCAGACAAGGCAGAGCATTGGCAGTGTAGTAATCGGGATCGAGCCCCATCTCAGCGCCGCACTTCCAGTGCTCCGCAATCGGCACGATTTTAAGCGACTCGGTGAGCGTTTTCATTGCGAGGTCTTCGACCTTACACTGCGTGCCCAGCAAGCACTTGTACATCTTCAGCCCCGCTGTGGCCATCACATTGCCGATGCTAGCGCACTTTGCTTGTGCGCAGTACGCAAAGCGTCGGTGGATGCAGTGCGCGTTCGTCAAGCACTCCTGAATGCCGATGCGTCCGACTGGCACGTTGAAGTCTTCCGGCGCGGTGCAAGTCTGCGTCGCACCGCTCGCAGACCAGTTGAGACACGCGCATAACCGCAACCCCTGGACCGTGATCGACTTCGTTGTGCGGATACCGACGCCGAGCTGCAAGTCACACGCGCTGCGACTGCCGCTCTGACACGCCCATTTGCTTGCGCCCGCAAATAGATTGTCTGCGTGTGCTGAGCGCATACTTACCAGACCCGCTGAGTGGGCCTTGCGTACCGCAGTAGTGATCGGGCGAGATTACGATTACTTTGAAATTATCGGAGATGTTGTGTCCAATGAGCTCCTTAGAGACCGCGCAGTTGTAGCCGTCAGCGCAGCGAAACAGACGAACGTCGTCCACGTCGGGCACGATGCCCGAGCATTGACTGTCGATGCACCGCTGGAACTTGTCGCAATCTTCGTCGAGCACGCAGAACTCGCCGAACCACGCCTTGGTGCGCAGCGCCAAGAAGCTCGCCGCGACCCATAGACGCAGACTACACGGAAACATGATGCGCGCTTGCTGTTGACAGCATGTCTTTTTGCTTCAGGTTATTCGGAAGTGTGCGAATTATCGGGCGTGCCGGTAGTCCCGTTTTTTGCGTCGATCCTCGTTTTGCAATTTGATGTACAACTGCAAAAGCGCGACGAACATTTGCACGAAGTCGGTTAGCAAATGGAATGAGTCGGACTAGTGTGGCGGAATTTAAAACTTACGAAGGGAGATAAGTCCTGCACGCGGCTGTTGTGCAGCAACCGTTGCGAGTCAAGCACCACGTACAGCGAGGAGAGCACCGTGCTGCCGAGTAGCAGAACGTTTGACATCATACTTGTGCGGAAAAGCGAGTTAAACAACAAGCCGCCAAGCAGTACGCTGCTGATTGACGAAGCCAAGCCGTACGTCACGAGTGTCGCACGAGAACTTGCGAAGAAAGAAGCCACGGTCAAACCTAAAAAGCCGGCGACCGTTGAGAAGAACGCCCGTTCTACGATTTCGCGGTAGAAGAGCAGCGACACAGCGACGAATTCGCTGTAGGTGAAGCCGATAGCTACGCAGTAGGCAAGGAACAGCGCCAGTTCGTGGCCTCTGGCTAAGCTCCGCGCAGCCGCGCGGCGCGGACGTAGAAAGTAGAATGAACCGCCTATCATGCTCAGAAACGTGAAGATCGACAGCAGAAAGCGTGATGCCACGCGCTCTGCAACCGGGTACACGAACGCGGCGCCGCCGGCTGTCGCGAGTCCTGCGACCAAGCATGCGTAAACATATGTAAGATACCGCAATTGCTCCGGTCGAAGCCCGGTCTGCTGCTGAACAAACGCGTTGCCGCGACGAAACAGCGAAGAGACAAGATTGTTGAAGTCGAATCCTTTGTCCATGTGACAGAAAAAGTTTTCAATTAAATAGATTTAAGTGAGTGGACTTTCCGCTCTACACAAACTAGGCTCAGCGAACTTCACGATCTACCCTTGGTTGCCTCAGTTTCGGTCCTCGCGAACAGGTCTTGGGCAGTCAGCTCGCTCGCGACCTGAGCCTCGGAAGATTCGTCAGGTTCTGCCAAATGCTGCAAGTCATTTCGGCTGCTAAACTTCTCCACGGACTTCATGTAGCTCGTGACGGCCGACGCCAGATACTCATCAGTGTCATCGGGCTCGTCTAAACTCGCCAAGCACTTGTCCACTGCTTGGCACAAGTCAGTCTTTAGTTCAGCACCGGCTGACAGGCTAATAGATTCGCGTGCAGATTGAGCACCCGCGTTGCCATTCGAGAAGACACTACTCTTCGGCGCAATAAGCGAGGCTGAGGAAGGCTCTGCAGCTGATGATTCGGACAATGTTTTGGAGAACTCAAATTCCGGCTGAAGTGGACGAGTGGGCGAGATCTCCTTATTCAATTCACCACCTCGCGCGGAGGTTAAGACGCTTAGTTTTGCATTGATAGATGTATTAGCGTGAGGTGATTCTGCAACGCCTGTCGTCGGTTCCCGCGTTTTCTTCGTTGAGGTTTTAGTAGACGACGCAGCAGCTGCGGCGTTTCCCGCTGCAGTACTCTCTAAGTTCGGTAATTTGCCGTCGAAGTTTTCAGAGACGCTCAGATTGCGCGCTCTACTAAAGATGTTGAGCTTTGCTTCGCTGACGCGCATCTTTTCTTTCACTTCGTCAGTGACTTTCGAAATCGAATCTATCAACTCGCTGGCTTGCGCAGTTCCAGCTGAATTGGTAGGTAGTTGCGGTGTGAGCAACGTTTTTCCCTGTGACTTTCTACCAGCACTGCTATCGCGCTCGCCTACGAAAATCAGCGAGATCTTGATGACCTCGCGCATCATGTGCAGATTAGATGTGGTGAACGCGGCGAAAAAGTAAATCGTGTACGGGAGTAGTAAGTATGCAGTGATTTTGATCAGCAGCGGGTAGTTTTTGAAAATGGCAAAAACCAAGCTGCTGAAATAGAACGGCAAGGTGTAGTTGTCAATAAGCGAAAGAGGACTGCCGGTCAACGACGACAAAGTCAATCGCCAGGTAATGCTCGCACCGAAAATGGCTAGTACGAAAGTAAGAATGAACGGGTTCTGCGCGAGCGCGTGGCTGCTGATTACGCAGAGCTGAGCCACCAAATGAATCGTAATGCAGATCGCGAAGTGGCGTGCGGCAGCCTTGTTTTTGATACTGTGCGCCAAGTAAAGCTCCTTTAACTCAGCGTAGATGAAGTAAAAGTACGGCAACGTTACCATGGCTAGAGCCAATGTGTTGAGCTTCATAGTGAAAGGCCAGAAGCACAGAATTCGCCACATAAATTTCGGAGCGAAGTCGCGAAGAGACAGCGCAAAGAAACCTGGCCGGATGAAGTTAATTAGCGCGGAGAAAATCAAGCAGTAATGCGCCTCAGTTATACCGAAATATGGGTTGTTTCCGTATCGGTAGACCTTGAACTCGTACTCGTACCATGAAACGTAGTTGACGGTGAAGGTGGCATACGTCATTATGATCGCCGCTTTCTGATAATAGCCAAGTTGCAGAACACCGCACAGCAAGAAGATGTAGTAGTAGGTTGTGATGGCGTCGCATCCGTGGTCAAACATCTGACCAATTGCTGAGGAAAGTTTTAGTTTGCGAGCTTGCTTGCCGTCCAGACAGTCAAGTGTCTGATATAAAAAAAATCCGACAGCACAAGCCAAGTAGGTCCAGCGCGGCACAGCGCTGACTCCGTGGTTATCGTAGTAAAGCATAGGCCAGTACGACACGCAGATTGAACTGATCAGCGCAATTAGAGTCAAGACGTTCGGGTGAACTATGCGTGGTACCAAGTGGGAAAGCGGACTCCAGAAGTACTTGTCGAGAAACAACTCTAAGTGCGTGTAACCAGCGCTTATGTATTTGTACTCCAACAACCGCGAACGCATAGATTCGCTGACATACGGTTCAATAAAAAGGTGCTGCTTGACGCATTTCGCAACCTCGATAAACCTATTCGCTTTACGCACGACAGGTTCCGCAACGCCTATATTAGTCGATCTCGATGCGGCCTGCATTGCCGTGTTCGCTAATAAGCGATTATCAATATCCCGAATCAAAAAATGCAGAATATGCTGGAATATTGACCTTCGCTAAAACACAAAAATGCTTCGCGGACTAAATTATGTTGTGTCTAGACGAGAGTGAATCTGAAGAAGAAAAATTGCTATTGTTGTGCAAAGAGTTCGATGAGTTTTCCGGCTCTGGGCAATTGGAGGAAGTTACAGCATGTCTAGACCGCATAAAAAATTACCTAGCAAGCATCAATAAACCCTTCGATGCCGCAAAGCTGCGTATCCTGCTTGGCCAGCTGGATGAAAATGAGACAAGCAGTTTGCACTGCGCCGCTGCAAACGGCCACGCTGAAGTGTGCGCGTTTTTAGTAGAGAAGCTTGCATTTGCTAATACGGCAAACAGGTATGGCAACACGCCGCTACATTGGGCGGTGCTAAACAATCACTTTGCCGTGGTTAAGGTCCTATGTGACTCCATCCACAAGTAAGTGAAATTATGCAAAAGCCAGCATCGATGTGACACTTAAGAATGACATTGGCAAGACTCCACTTGACTACGCCATTGAGTGCGAGAACGAAAAGATCTTCAAATATCTCATACTGCATCCAGTAAGTTTCGTCGGCATAGGTTCTAGAGTGCGGGCAAGCTCGTTCCCGATGAAGAAAAAGAGATCGACCAGGAAGAGATTAACGAATTTCTTCGAAACAATCCGAATTCGCAAGAAGTTTAGTTTAGCAACAGCGCGTAACTTCTTGCTTGAGCGCGTCATCCTAGCTTCAGTGTTTAGCGACTTACCTGGTGAAGTTTCGCGACGTTTTCCATGCTTGGTCTACATTGACTGCTATTCGAGCAACACTTTGTGCAGTTTGCATGCATTCCTCTAATGACCGTCTCGAACGCGCTAGCGACGTTTTTGTCTTCGAGCGCGCTCAATTCTATGAACGCCAACTTACTGTCGTGCGCAAAGTTCTTCGCTTCAACAACGGACACTTGTCGTCTGTGGTCAAGGTCCAGCTTCGTGCCCACCAGCAGTATAAACATGTCGGTGCCCAGCTCGGCTCGCACTTCGTCGACCCATCTCTTGCAATTGCGGAAGGACGCGTGCGACGTGATGTCGTAGCAAACCATCGCTGCTGATGAGTTGCGGTAGTAGATCTGCGTTATGCTGTGGTAGCGCTCTTGGCCTGCGGTGTCCCAAAACTGTACTTTGATGAGGTTTCCGTCGAGTTCGACGAACTTGGTCGCAAACTCGACGCCGATGGTGGTGCGGGTGTCGGCGTGGAATCCGTTTTTAACGTAGCGCAGCAGCAGATTGGATTTTCCAACGGCCGAGTCGCCGACGACAATTACTAATTGTGTTGCAAAAGCGACTTACCTTTGTAGATGAAGTTTTCGGATGTCATGTAGACATATGATTTCTGATTTTTCTTAGAGCGCACTCTTGTTCTTCGCAGCGTACCAGATGTGTGTTAATGGGGCGGGCAAAAATCAAAGAAAGTTTTTCTGTTTGCTGAGCTTCAGGTAGGGTCCCATCGTCGTGAACAGGAAGTGCCACATCAGGACTAAGCGATGCGCAGCGGAACTTACTGGTGAAAAAGCGCAAAGCCGACTTCAATAACTTCAGCGAAACTGCGCTTGTTGACATCATGATGTATGGGAGCGCTTCGACCTTTGTTGCGTAGACGCAGCCGGCGAGGCAGAGCAGAAACTAGTGTTCGCGTCGCTGGGAACTTACCAAATAGTAGAACTCGGGATTGCAGTAGATCGGGTTTTGCAGTTTCACGTATAGCAGAGGAACAAGCGCGTAAATGCTGTTTGCCGGCAGCTGCTCAGCTGTCAAAAGAAAGAAATAGGACAAACTTTGCAGAAAGCTGAGAGTTGGAAAGCGCAAGATTTTGTAGTTCTGGTATAGCGCAGAGTTTATCAAGTAAAAATCGAGCAATTTGTTTGACATCTCTAACAGCATGACAAGTTTGGGCACAGTGCTGTCGGCTTCGAACAGCAGCAAATGCAAGTGGTGCAGATCGTTCAAGTGCTGTTTGTAGGAAGCAAGAAAGGCAGGCGTTTTGATGTTGAGAAACAAGCCCAAAATTATGTTCTTGGTGAGTAGAACACTGCAAAAGCATAATGCACCTAGCACTACGCTTCCGATCAAGTCGTTTTTGCAATATTGCGGAAACGGCTTGGTAGCTTTGGCTCGAATCTTCCTCTGCCGAATCACGCAAATAAAGCTCGGGAGCAAGAGCAGCGGCGCGAGAGAGTTGCTGAGCGCAATGCACAGCGCGAGCGTCGCACCGACCTGGACTGGCAATCGGAACAGAGCACGCGACGTGAATACTAGGACAAAGACGGCTAGGATGAGCACTGTGCATAGCATGATGCGCAACGCACTAGGCTCATCTAGTTTGTTGAAGAGCAGCGCGATCGTGAGGAGTAAGCACGGCAACAACACAGAGTTGATAGATGACTTTTGCAGCAGGTTTTGCGAGCGCAGCTGCACGGCTTGCTGGTTGCCCGGGTCGATCTCCGGCGTTTTGCCCTTAATCGTGCCGAATGCGGCAGCAAAGCTGAAAAGCAGAATTAGCCCGACATGCTTTGCGAACTCTGCAGACGGCTGTTGAAGCTGAGCAGAGACATCTGCGAGCGAGATCATCTGCTCGGTGCCGCACAGTCGCACAACTCAAATTTTTAAGCGTAGTTGTTATTTAAAATAGCCGATTTAGCGAGTCGCTGCGTGAGCGCAGATCGGCTCTCGCGTCAGTTCTAGTCTGAGCGCGCTTGAAGCATGCTGGAGCCTTCTGCAAGTCTTTGTCGCTTGCGCGGAGCGGCTAGTTGCGCTGCCAGTGCTTCACGTGTAGCGCAGCTCCGTAGTTGCCGAGCACGATGATGGTGAACGTAGGGTTCATGCGCGTCATGCGCGGGAGAATGCTGGTGTCGACGACGCTGAGATTTTGCACGCCGATGACGTTGAAGTTGCTGTCGACGACGTCACCAAAGCGCGCGGTTCCCGAGTTGTGCCAGATGCTTTGTATCGTTTTCCGCACGTAGAGCTCAATGACGCGGTCGTCGTCGGCGTCAGGCACCGAAGGCGGCCACGAGCAGATCTTTTGCGATGCGAAAGCGTTTGTGGCGTAGAAGTCGAACTGGTCCGTGTTTGCGTCGTCAAAGAACGCGTCGTTCGCCGCAGATATACTCATAAGGCGCGCGTCGCGCTTTTTCGTCGCGACGCTGCGCACAGTGCGCGTGATCAAGCGCGTGATTAAGTCGGAGCACGAGTTCGGCTTTTCTTCTTGGAACACTTGCTTGGCCTCGCCGGTGTCGCGGCTCAGTTTGAGCAGATGCTTGACGCCGCGGACTGCGTCGCGCAAATCTTTCTCGTTATCGAAATACTTCGGGTCGGCCTCGATACTTCCGTCACGGAATAGGCGAACCTCGCCTTCGCTGTGCGGCTCGTTGATGAAGTACCATACGGCGGAAAGCTGTCGCAAGCAGGCTGTCAACGACTCTACCGCCTTGCAGAAGCTCAAGTCTCGGGGGGCATCGCTGCAGTAGTTCAAAATTTTGAGCAGCTGCGCAACAATCGGGTTGTTACGCATCGCAGGCGGAAACAAAATGCGCGTCGCGTAGATGAAGCCTTCGATGATGCGCCCGCCTGTGATTTCTTCCACCGAGATGAACCCCCATTCTTTTGATGGAGAGTCGAGCACGGGCTCGCCGGAACAAGTGTTGTTGCGACTCGCAATGCATTCGACTTTGGCACCTGCTGTGTTCATGCCGAGTATGCCGCAGATCTGCGGGTGCAGCTCGTTGCCGCGCACGGCCACGTCTTTGCGGAAGAGGGCCATCGGCACTAACCCGCGGTCCACGAAGTGTCTGCCTAGGTGTTCGTTGACGAGAATTGGCCGCCTGATGCGCAGTTCCTTGAGTTGGTCTCTGTTGCCTACGCCGCTTTTTGCAAGGATCGTGGGCGTCATGATTGCTCCTGCAGACAGCGTGATTTTTCTGCTGGCACAGATGCGGACGGTTTGAGCGCGCGGTTCGATGTAGCGCCCGTTCGCCGAGACGGTGAACACGGAGGGCTTCGCGTCGCCCGCAACTTCGTAGTAGAATTGCTTGTTTAGCCCGTTGGGGTTGTTTGTTCCCAGTGTTTGCAGGTCCGCGCTGGTTGTGGGCTTGACGCGCACGCAGCGCGCTACAGGCTGGCCGTCAGCCCCGATTCCGAATTCAACTAGCTCGACGGTGTGTCCAGTCAAAATTTTCAGCGTAGGCGGCTGCGGGTCAGTCTTCGATCCCAGCAGGTAGTCGGCGCTTTTGCGAAAGAAGTTTTGCTCGCGATCGAAGAGCGTGCTGCCGTTCCACAGCCCTTTGGCGCTAATCGTGTCTGAGTAGCCGAGAAAGTTTCGGAAGCCGTAGCGCGTGTAAACGTTGATGAGAACGTTGCTGTACGGCTGCGTCATGACCCCAGGGTGCGCGAGTTTTTCGCGGATGTAGTCCAGAGACTCGGTGAGCAGCGCGCGGTCAATCTCGATGCCCGTCATTTTTTCGAGAAGGCTCACGTAGTTTTTATCTTCCATGATCATGATGCCCATTCCGATTGCCGTGCCTCCGCCGAGGACCGCGGGAATGTGCGAGCGCACGCCGCCGGATAGCACCATCGGCTGCGCGACGCTCTCGTCCGCTATGACGAGCCCTGCGCCGTAAATGTCGTGCGTGAGTCGGTGTTTCGAACGGTCATTCCCGCGCTCGACCAGAAGAACCTGGTAGCCGGCGTCGGCTATCCGGCGCGCGTACGGACATCCAGCGCCGCCGCCGCCGACGACGATCACGTCGTAGTCTTGGCTACTCGCTTCACGTAATGTCGTTGTGTGGATCGCCGCGAGGTTCTCGTTCGGCTCGTCCACGTAGCCTTTCGGCATGTATTGCGGGCAGTAATCACCATTGCAGGACTCGATGAAAATCTCTGAGCTCTGTGCCAGGAAGGCGAAAGCAAAAAAATTCCATGCCATTTGGCGTCTCTGCTCAAACGGAGTTGTCGAGCTCCATTCGCTCAATGATCCCTGCTAATCCTTTTTCCGACAGTTTTCTAGAACTCGCTGTTCTTGGGACACTTTTCTGTCGCTTCGGTAGGTCAGCGTCATTCGAAGTCTCCGTGCGCGGCGCTGCCGTGTCAGCCGCAGCCGACACGAAAGTGAGTTTGCTTCGCAACGGCGATCTGCTGCAAACAGAAGCAACTTACAACTCCACACTGTTCCAAGGCCCGCTATGCGCGAGCGGGAAGCTGCTGCGCAAGTCTTGCAGATAAAAGCATGGGAATTCGGGTTGCGCGCTGAATTGCGCGACAGCCGCATCTCGCGCTTGCGACTTGCCAGGCATGTGCAGCAATGTCAGAAACGCGCGCGGAGCGAAGGAAACGTCCGCAGGCAGTACTTCTGCTTTCCGCAGAGACTCGAGCTTGGCGGCGACGTCGTTTCGCAGGCGCTCTAGCGCAGCACCGTCAAGCAACGCGAGCAGCAGCCGCTCGAGGTCCTGCTGCAGTTTCGCGAGCGTGTCGAGTTCGGCTGCGAAGGCGGCATCGGAAGAAGCGAGCAGCAGTGTGACCGCATCAGTGTTGTACATGCGGAAGTGGCTCGTGAGCTGCTCCGCTGCGTGTTTAATCCGAGGCACGCTGCTAGCAACGAGATGCACGGCTTTGCCCGTTGCGGAAGATTTGTACATCATGGAATGCATGTTGCGAACACTGAGTTTCCGGGCGTGAGGTGTGCGCGTCGCGCAGCTCTCGTACGCCGAGCTGCCGCCGAAAAGCTGTTCGAGCGCGCAGTCTCCGAAAATGATCAGCAGGTCGTGTGCAAGCATTTGCCGAGAGAAATTAAGTATTATATTTCGACTTGATCGATCAACGCACATGCACAGTACCGAAGCCCCGTCGAGGCAAACTTTGGGAACGGCCGTCGCTGCCGCGCTGAAGCTCAGAAATTTATCGACTATTATGTCGATTCCAGGCGATTTTAACTTGTGTTTGCTAAATGCGCTACTGGACGGCGGCCTAAACTTGATCGGCTGCTGCAACGAGCTAAACGAGGGCTACGCAGCCGACGGCTTCGCGCGGATTAACGGGCTATCGGTAGCCGTAGTGACTTACAACGTCGGTGAGTATTCAATCCTCAACGCACTTGCTGGTGCGTGCTCTGAAAACTCGCCATTCGTTTTGATCGGCGGCATGCCGCCGACGGAACGCGGAGAAACGCTTCTGCAGCGGCACCACTCGACGAGCGCTACGAATTTGAAAGCGTTTTACAATGCCACCAAACCGTTGACCTGTCGCTCTTGCATTTTGGACGACATGTCTTCTGCAATGACGCGGGTGCATGAAGCGCTCGAATTGTGCGCACGGACGCGCAAGCCCGCGTACATCGGCATTCCATGTAACTACGTGAATCAGCCGGTTCCCTGTTCCGCGCCGCATGTGCAGCTGCTGCCGGCGCTCGACGTGGATCTGACTGCGAAGCTCGCGGCGCGTCTCGGCGAACGCATCGCGGCCGCGCAGCGCCCGCTGTTTCTCTGCGGCGAGATGCTTGCTGCGTTTGGACTCGCTGACGCCATGGACGCACTGCTGCGCAAGTCGGGCGTACCGTTTTTCACTGTGCCGCACTCGAAAGCCGTGCTAAGCGAAACGCACCCAAATTTTTTGGGCGTCTACGTGGGCACGGAGCACACGAGAGCGCAGCTGATCGCGTACCTGAAGCAGACGGACTGTTTGATTTGGCAGGGCGAGCAATTGACTGATTTCAACACGCCAGGCATCGACAGTTTGGTAAATTTCGGTAAAGCGGTGCGACTCGACGCTGAGAGCGCTGTGGTCGACGGCCAGCAAGTGTCGAACGTGTGTTTCAAGACGCTGATTACGCAGCTTTCGCAAGTCGTGCAGCGACACCGCATCGCCTCGTCGCTTGCACAGTTCGCCGCTAATTATTCGTACGGCGGTTTAGACTGCGTCGCGGCTCAAATGACAAGCGAGCAGCTTGACATGAACTCGTTGTTCGGTGCGCTAGCGGCGCTGCTGCCGCAGGACGCCGCTCTCTGTGTCGACACAGGCGCGGCCATGTTCGAAATTCAGAACACAGTCTTTCCAAGGCGTCTGCACTTTATCGGCCAGACGCGTTATGGCTCGATTGGGTACGCTCTGCCCGCAGGACTGGGCGTTGCCGCCGCGCAGCGCTTGCGCGGCTCCGGTCGCACGGTCGTGCTAATCGGAGACGGCGCATTCCAGATGACCTGCCAAGAGCTCAGCACTATCATTCGCCAGAAGCTGAATCCAATAGTGGTGGTGCTGAACAACGACGGGTATGTTATCGAGCGTGCCATCTGCGACAACTCCTACGACGATATCCAGCGCTGGAAGTATAGCGACTTGCCCGCTGTTTTCGGCGGTACTAAGGGCGTCATCGCTAACACGCGCGAAAAGTTTTTCCGCGCGCTGCAAGACGCGCTGCGCAACGAGAGCTCCTACGCTTTCATCGAAGCGAAGCTCGATCCCAAAGACATCGGCGTCGCGCTGCATGAAGCGGGAACTCGCATGTGGGACTCGGCGCAAACAGTGCTCTAGCGCCCGTGCTTACATATTGCCGAACCCGGCGGTTGATAAGTTCACGATAATTAATTTCAGCGCGATTTTTCTCGAATGAGCGAGGGAGTGAGTGACGCGTACATCGAAGTGCCTGCATTGATGGCGGCGCGCCGCGAGGAGATCGTGCGAATGAAGGCCGACCTCGCCTCGCTCCAGAAAACCAAGCGCTGCTTCCAATCACTGCCGCACTACCAGCGCCGTAGAGTGCAGTCGCACAATCCGCGGCGCGTGCCGCGCGCGGCTCGCAAGCTCGACAGCTTCGTGACGAGTCCGCCGGTGCAGAAGCAGCAGAGCTCACGCGCGGCAAACAGAAGCACAAAGGCGCTGCTGCGCGACTTCAACGCGCGCTCGCTTAAGGCTAAGTGGCTGCCGTCGCATCTCTTCACGGTCAAGCGTGCGCATGTATCGACTTACTACGTTTGCGGCAAAGTGCCCACGCAGCCTGAGAACGACAAGTTTGCGCTGCCTCAGTGCGTGTACGCCTCGCTAAACTGCCGCGACGTGCTGGAGCGCTCGACCTCTGCGCGCTTCAGAGAGGCGTTTGAGCAGACCGAGGCATTCGCGCGCATCTCGTGCGGCTTCAAGCTACCGGTTTGTCCGACGCAGAAATGCCGCAGGTTTCAGGCGCGCATGCTCACCAAGGGCGCCGCGGCAGCAGATCTGTCGCACTTTGCTGTAGTAACTTTCGACGCAGAGCTCGCCGAGAAGCAGGGCTTGTCGCTGCCGCGCGGCTTCGGCCACGTTCCTGTCTGGCTGTCGCATGCTGAGTGCGTGAACGACGGGCAGCGCGCTGTGTGGGTTGTGCACCCGCTGTTGCTTGGCGCGGCGTTGGAGCGACTCGAGTCGCTGGAAGTCAAGTGCTCTGTGCAGCACTTTCCAGGTTTGGCGCTCTTCGGCCCCAAGGCTTTGCATTTTTTGCGCGAGGCGCTGCTGCTCGGAGCGAGCAGCGCGGCAAGCAAAGTGCTTGTGCGCGAAGCTTCGCCGGTGTCCACGAACGCGCAGCTGCTCGAACCAAAGTTCAGCGCCTGCAAGCGCTTCGCGCTGCAAAACGTCGGTCGCTATTTCGTCGTGGACTGTGAAGAACTGCAAGTGCGCACTGGCCCCTTCCATCCACCGCGCAATAAGAAGTACGACGGAACTGACTTGCCGCAAAAAACGCTTGACGCGTTCGCCTACGGCGCAACGCCGTTGCCTAGCTTTGCGCACGGCTCCGCGCTTGCGTTCGAAGAATCGGAAGTTCTTTTTTCAGAGGCGCGCCGCAGCCGGCGGCGCAAGGACTGCGTGGCGGAGGTGGCCAAGATCCGCGCGCAGCAAGAGGAGCCCGCGCCCATTGCAACGCGCGCTGCCAACAGTGAGCATCGCGCAACCCGGTGCAGTCTGCTCATTTGGTTTTCGGAGCTGGGAGGCGTGCCGGCGGTCCGCGTGCTGCTCGATTCCGCGGTGAGCTGCAAGGTACTCTTCCAGCTAATCGTGCGCTTCGGCGCAGCGCTGCTCGGCGTCGAAGACCTTGCGCGGCTACACTCGTCCGTCGGCGCGTCCTTTTTTCCCGACCACTTCGTCAGCCCAAGCGTCGCCGCACAGGAGAATTTTCAATTCAGTCGACACCCGAGAGAGCAAAAATTGCGGAAGAAAGCCGCGCAGTTTTTCGACGCGCGCCTCCGCGCCGCGTTCTGTCGCCTACAGCCAACCCAGCACGTTTTTCTGCGCGTCCCCGAAGGCGTCAAGCTGCATTTGCGATTGCATTCGCTACTTTTCCGCGCGCCGCGTGCGGCCACGGCAGATGTCGAAGAGCTGCCTGCTGACGGCCCGCTAGACGCGGAGCCGCTCGGCTTTTTGGTGGACGCGCTCTTTTCGCTGGTGCACGGACAATTTGTCGCACTGGGGTTCGTCGCGCACGCTTCAGAGCCGAACCGCACGGTGCTCTACAGAGACGAGGCAACGCGCAAGGTGTACCTGCTGCGCTGCCGCGCGAGCGCGACGTAGCTCATGTCTGCAGGAAGCGGTGCATCTCGTTTTTATCGTAGCGCGGCACTTCGGTAACCTTTTCCTCGAGCACGACAACTTTTTTGTGCTGCGCGGAGTAATCCGCGAGCGACGCCTTCATGTGCTTTACCGGTTGCCGGTATGGGCGCCGCAGCACCGGATTCGCCGAGTCCAGCAAACTGATCGATAGCACGTCGACGTTGCTGCCCGATCCCAAGTCGTTCAAAATGCCCGCTTCGATCGCGTCAGCCGCTAACTCGACGCCTTCCTGCAGCGTCAGGTCTTTGCGGTAGCCATTTTCGAGCATCGAGCGCGCGAAAAAGCCGCCAGATCCCATCGCCAAAAAGTCTGCACGCAAAGTGCTGCCGTCCGCGTCCACGTAGACCAAGTCCATGGTCCCGTCCGGGTTGATCCCAGCCACGATGAGCGCGACAATGATGTCGCCGTGATGTTCGCGCAGCACTTTGCTCAGCATCCTGACGCACGCATCGATGCGGATTTCCGCACCAAGACTCGCCTTTAGCAGTTGCATGTTCGCGGCGATGTTCTCCGTGACGTGGTGGAGGTCGGCCGCAACGCCTGCGCCCGCGCACCAAATGCTTTTCGAAAGTCGGTGCAGCTTCAGACAATTGCGCGTCGCGATGAACGAGCCCGCCGTCGCGCGGCAGTCCGCCGCGAGAACTACGCCTTCGCGCGTGAGAAGCCCGCAGATCGTCGTGCCAGTTTTCGTAGCCAGCTTGTTGTGATCCGCGACCTGGCCGCCGTTCGCGCTTCGCGCGTTGCAGTAAACTCCGTCCATCTGCGTTGCAGTTTTCGCGTACAGATTTCTGCGAGACTTAAATAATTAGAAAAATACGCGGCGTTGCGAACACCTCGTGATCAGCCGCGCCGTTTGCCACGCTTCGCAGGTTTTGAGGCGACATTGTCTGCGAGCGCGGCGAAGCGCGCGGCACGCGTCTTGCCATTTTGGCGAATTGCGGTCACGAGGTCTGCGAAACTCGCGTCGCCGAACTCCTGCGCGAATCGCGTGCGCTCGCGGCGAATCTTGCGGCGCGTCGGAGTTAGCGCAGCTTTGAACCGTTTCCAGCGTTGCTCGAACGCGGCTATCTCAACGGGGCGCTTCGCGACCGCCTTCAGGAGCACGCGCCGGAGAAACGCAACGTCCTCCGGCTCGGGCTCCAGCAGCGGCACGTATTCGAACACTTGCTCGAGCTGCGCACCCCGTCGCTCGTAAAACTCCATAATGTCCTGCGCCTGCTCTGCGCTGTGCCGATACTCCGCCGCAAACGCATCCAGCTCGCTTGCGCTCACTCGAGAGGCCGGCGCGCTTTCTGGTGCAGCTCCGGCGTCGTACGCCGCGCGTTTCTCTGGGTCCTTAAGTGTGTCGTATGCCTCCAGGACTTGAAGGAATTCTTCTGCACCCGCAGCGTTGCGGTCCGGGTGGAGCTTCAGAGCCATCATGCGGTACGCTTTGGTAATCTCTGCGAAGCTGCAGTCCGTGGCGACGCCGAGCACCTCGTACAGCGACCGCATGCTTCGAACGAGTCAATTGCTCGCTGAATTATGATTTAGCGCGATGCTTTTAATATTTTCCTCGAACCTCGAAGTTTCGCGGTTCGATGTCGAGCTCGCCAAGTCGGCGGCGCAGAAGACTGTAGAGCACGCTCGGTTGCGTAAGGTGTTTACTTGCGCGAGCCGCGAGACTGTTGCGGTCACACTTGCGTCTGACGATTTTGCGGTGATTAAGGAGCCCGAGCTATGCGCCAGCAACTTGCTGTTTTACTTCCGCGGCGAGCAAATTTGCGCTGCGTACATCTGGTCGCCCGTGGAGACTTTTTCGCTAATTTTTCATTTCATAGCTTGTCGGTTTGCCGGGCCCGCGCCGCTGTTCACTTTGCGCACCTACTACTGCGGCGCCGATGATCTTCCGCAGTGCGTCTCCGCTGGAGCCATTCCTGCCGACTTCGTAAACCAGAGCAAGCACCTCGCCAGCGACGTACACGGCGCGTTGCTTTTCATCGCGTGTCGCTCTGGGCTGCAGTACTGCTGGGCGAAATACCTGCCTTCGGGCGTACGCGTTTCGTGCTTTCTACCTTTGCCCGAAACGCGCGGGCTGGAACTGCGTACGTTCGACGTGGCCTGGTACACGCCGGACACGCTCTGCTGCGTCTGCGCCTGCGCCAACAACAACCTCCTGACGCTCTACTACACCCTAGAAGCCGGCGACGCTCTGACGCACAGCTTGCGAGCGGTGCACGCATTTCCCACACGCACTGCTGAGCACTGCTGCGTGCTGCGCGCAGGCCCGAACCTCGCCGTCGCGCTCGCGGCGAGTTCTGGCGCTGTGCAGCTCGCTGAATTCGGGCCACGCGGCAGCGGCTCCGTCGCGTCTTCGCTTGTTTATAGCTGGCCGGTCGACCAGTTGCTGTTCAGCGCAACGCACCAAAAGCTGATTGTCGCACAGAAAGAAGGTTACATCGTCGACCGACATCCGCTCGGCGCGCACCGACGTCACGTGAGGAAATTCTCCGGGTTTCCGTCGTCTGCCAAGGGCGGCAGCAACTCGATGCTCGTGCAGCCCTACAGACTCGCGAGCTTTCACAAACTCTTCGACGCCGGCGTTTGCTCCTGCGCAGCGAACGACAAAATGGCTTTTTTCGCATTTGATAACGGAGTGTTCGTCGGCTTGCCGCTCGCGGACGCCGGAAATCGGCACGCGAAACTGCCGTGCAGCATACTTAACTTCCTCAGTGCCGATTGGCTTGCTGAAGAGGAAGACGCGTCGTCAATCGCGCCCGCAACGCTCGCTGCGCTTGATACTCCCTCAATGCCTGCGTCCGCCGCAGCACTCGACGCAAAGCGGTCCGGGGATTTCGCGCGCGAGACTAACAGCCTGATAGAGCGAACGCACGCTGCTATGGTGCGTCGCGCCGAGAGCGTCGGGCTGTTGCTGGTGTCGACAGAGTTATCTGCGTTGGGAAAACTGAGCGCAGCGAACGCACCGGCTACGCCCAAACTTTTCAACAGTTGTCTGGACGCGCTTTTTTTCCTTGCGCTCAAGTGCAGCTTTACGCTACAGACTAAAAAGTTTTTAGCCTATGGCTACAGCTCGAACTCCGGACTTGTGCATATCAAATTGGTGAAACAAGTGTAGCTGCGCGCGTGGAAAATCGCCAACGGAATTTCGGGTGCCGTTCGGGTGCGAACTCTAATTAGTTCTGATTTGAACGTCGAGCGCAGAACTGCATGAGAGCTTTGCAAAGTCGCTGGCTGTGAACTCCAATAGCTCAACTTTCTCCCCCGACTCGCTTGCGTTGGCCTCCGCTGTCGAAGCGCTCGGCCCCAGCGTAGTGACGACTCGCAAGTCGAACAAGTGGTTCGGCTCGTCAAAGAAGCAGCTGAGGCTGCATCCGAGCTTCATGGTCGTCCCCGACGATATGCTCGAACCTAATAAGGTCGATCTCGCGCAAAAAATCAACGCGTTCGGATCGCCAATCTACACGCTGGAGTCGCTCACTCGGTTCAACACACAGGTGCAGTGCAGACTTGCGGATATGCAGCGCACAAGCTTGGAAGAGCGCAGGAAAACGGCAAAGGCTGAAAAAGAATACGCACTGCTGCGCCAATTGTTCGAAGAACAATGCAAACTTATGGAAGCAGCGGCTCCGCCGAACGACTACTCCGACCTTTCTTCGCTTGACAGCTCTGGCGCAGAGGTACAGTTCGCTGCGGGCGACGCCCCAGACCAAAAGTTTTTGCGAAAAGAAGTGCTTCGGCGCAAAAAAGCCGAACAACGGCTCAAGTTGTTTCTGTGCGACGAGCGCTATGGAGGTGCCGCACGTACTGCCGGCGACGTGGAGGCGTATGGCGCAGCGGAGGCGCGCGCTGCCGCGAATTTGGCGGCCAGCGTTGCGCGAGACGAAAGCATGCTGCGCAATGTCGGCGAAATCGAGGAGTTACAGCAGAGTCTTACAGCGTATAAATCGAAGTCGGAACTGAGCCGAGCTGAGGTAGAACAGCTGAAAACCAAAATCGGCAAATACCGCAGCTTGGTTGAGAAGCTGCTCGACTTTTTGGACTCCAAAACTGCGCAAGGGTCGAAGGACGCTGCACTTCGCAACGAGTTGGCGAGCCGCGTGGCTGAGGAAAAGCAATGTTTGGAAGAATTACGGGTTGCGCTCAATTTTTTCTGCGATGGAGCGGTCTCTGCGAGAAGTCGGACGGCAAACGACTTGGCAAAAAGGCTGTTTTTCCAGCGGCTAGACGGGTTGGCGGAGCTCGGCTCCAAGCCGGTTGGCTTGCGCACAGCGCCGTTCGGCGTGCAGAGCGACGCGCTGCCGCACTCGAACTGCAAAACTGCTGTCACACGCTCGAACCCGCTGTTCGTAATCGAGGATAAAGTGACGGTGTTACGCCCGACGGCAGATGGAGCTGGGGCGGTGAACTGCGAAAAGTCGGAAACAGCTAGCAAACCATTACTATCCATGCGAGACGCGCGCCTCAGCACAGCGGAGCTGCGAAAGTGGAATTGTTTGCCCGCCAGCGAGCGCAGTAAGCAGCTCGAGCACTTCCGCGCAGATTGCGCAGAGTGGACGCAGTCGCCTGCGCACGCCGAGCGCCATTATGCGCCGATGAGCGGCTCGGATGCGGTAGAACGGTCGGAATGCGTCGTTGATGCCGGCGCTGAGGAGCGGGAGACGCTGCAACGAGAGGCGCCCGCCGAACAACAAGTATCGACGCGGCGAAGCGTGCTGGCGGCTTTCAGCGAATACGACAGAGTGCTGCGCAAGGCAAAAGCCAAGATGCGACCGCTTCCCTGCGACCCGTTGCGGCTAGATGCTGAAAACTGCTTAACCGCGACTTCGCTGAAGGATCTAGTTGCTTCGCTGATGGACTTTTTCAAAAGTCTGCTCGATCCGTGCAGTGACGCTGCGCTCGAGGAACCGTCGCTGCTTCCGCCGTCCACGGAACGTTCTGGCGGCACTCGGACGGCGCTCGGCAAAAACACAGAAGTCGGCACGACGGCAGGTGGCACTGCGGACTCGTTTCGCTGTCTGAAAACTCGTTCAGCTGCACGCTCGCGCAAACAGTTGGAGATGGAGCACCTCGACATCCTCCCCGCTCCAACGGTACAAAACGCGCGACCTGTGTACGCAGCTGCAGAACGCTCAGTGTCTGCGGCGCGGCCATCACGCTTAGCTGCCATGCGACAAAAATTCGATCGCACGGCAGAGTCCACAAATCCAGGCTCAGCGCGCGCGGCAGGCGTTACGGAAAACAGTTTTAATGACAGCGATGAACCGTTGGAAAGAGCAGTGTTGCGAACGAATCAGACGAGTAGCTCGGTCGCGCAGCTGTCGGAGCAGCTGCGCTCCAACACTAGCTGCGAGGTGCCGCAAGAGGCGCCTCGTGCAAACGAGCGTGTTGTCGAGCTGCAACTGAGCGCTCGCTCGCAACCGAACACCGAACAACTCTTCGCGAAATACTTTGGCGCAAACAGCCGCTCTGCGGACAGAGGGCGTGGGAGGTCGGCCGCAAGAATTGCCTTCGAAGAACCATTGTCTCAGAGCGCGTCGTTCGCAGCTGATCTGACGCCGGTTCTAGTCGATGCGCCGGCGACAGCGCGTGCGCCCCAGTTTGGAGCGCGTAACGAGCGCAGTTTCTCGGATCTAGCGCATGCTTCGTTTGCACAACTGTCGAGCTCCTCGGTTTCGGCCTAAGTTGCGGTGCAGCGCAAAAGCTCGTGGAGCGAGTTGGCCGAGTCGATTTGGCTTTTGAACACCTTGCCCCCCATGCTGA